ATAAATAAATAAATAAATAAATAAATAAACAGTATTTCTGTTGCTTTCTTAATAGGAAATTGTTAAGAAAAGAGAAACGTTTAAACAGGTCACAAATGTCTTTTAATTTTGAATTATGTGCAAAGCCTCTATGAAAAAGAGGCTCTTCTCAAAGTCACTTTTAATGTAAGGAAAATCCTGTTGGGTGGATGGGAGGGTAAAGCATTCCTCCTGTGTTATTTTTTTTTTACCTACTTGCAGAATATCTGAATAGAACTAATGTGAGCAGATGTTCAAGATTGCCAGATTTCTTCATCATGCAAATTATTAGTTGTTTTTAGCCAGATATATACACAAGAATGGTTTTTTAAGGTTCAGCAGGATATATGGCTTAGGTCAGAAGAGTCAAGTTTGTCTCATAGAAATTAATACTGGCAGTACTGTTCATGATTGGGAAGTAACTTGAAAAATGCAATAATATGTTCCTGATTATCTGTTACATTCACATTTTTCAAATCAAGAACTGTCCATGTCAGTTTTTGATTATGACAATGATGTCATAATGATTTTTCTTTCAATTGTTGCATCAGTATGCAATTCGTTTCCCACGAAGGGCACAGATTACTTTCTGATTTTTTAGTTACAGATTCGGATGAGTATTTCCTTTGTCTGCCTGGGTGCTCTTTTCTATAGCTAGCTTTTCTACTATGCTTGAGTAACTTTCTGTCATTAAATGCCAAAGGAATAAGGGGAAAGGAAGGGGAGAAAAAGAATAGGTAGTTAAGACAAGGAAAGTGTGCTAGGAGGGAGTGGGTTTACTATTGACTTCCATTCATTTTCCTTTCGTATTCTCTATTCTTCATCATATCTTAAAATCTGCAGAATCACAAAAAAAAAAAAACAGCTCTTTACCTTTGTAATTTATTTATTTAGGGCTTTTATATCCCGTCCTATCTCACCTTCGCAGAGGGACTCAGGATGGCTAACAACCAGCACAGCACAGTCCCCACAATAAGAAAAGCATAAATATACATAATATAATAAAAACAGTATAAAATAATATAAAATATTAAAACACATTGCTGAATTCAGTCGTCCTAAAAGCAGTCCATCATAGTCCATTAAAACAGCAGCTTTGCCAGCAGGTCAGTCTAGTCCGCAAAGACCTGATCCCAGAGCCAACATTTCACTTTTTTGGGAAAGACAGGAGAGAYGGAGCAGATCTGATTTCATTTGGGAGGAAATTCCAAAGCAGAGGA